CTCAGCAGGGACACATCAGGAGAGAGAAAGGCTGCTGAGGAGACTCCTTTCACACCCTGCAAGCAGCAGAGGCACCGGGTACACGAGGCTCCTCCCCAGCCCTCAGGAATGCAACCATGCTTGGTGTCCTGCAGAAAAAAATTCAGGCTGACAGCAGGCACACCTCAGTCCTCTGCTGCTGGAGGGCCAGACACATTTCATCAGTGTTCTTGAAGTATGTCTAAGGCAAAATTATGCAGAAACAGCCTTTTGTTCAATAAATGGATAAAAGATTCTAAAGGATATACAAAGCTTCTAATGCTAAAATTTGGGCATTGTGGAGTTGCCTGTGTAGCCAATTCCCAAATGGCAGAGATGGTGAAGAATTGTCCTCAGTCACTGCTTCCTTTAAGAAAAGAATCGAATCCAGGAGCCTCAGATTAAGCTGGTGATGGCACTTGCCCATCAAACAGGAAGAAGCACTTCTCTACAAACCCTTTGAGTGTGTCATCTCACTGACATGAGAGGCTGAGAATGTCACAGGCATTCACAAGCTGCAGAAATGGCTGTTTTGTTCTGCTCTGAGTTTGTCCATGAAGGACTACTACAAAAAATAGCTGTTTTGGGGAAAATTTTCTTTTCCACAAATAACTAAAAGAGTGTCCTAGGAGAGTATCATCCCATTTTTATGCTGGGAGGATGGGGGTATCAGCCATTAGCTGCTGTAGGAGACACAGGGCTGGTTCAGCCTGCTCCTCAGCATGAATAGAGGCTGCTCTCACATCTGCAGAAATCCACCTCAAAATACATCGAATCTTTGACCCAAAGGACCACAGCATTTGCTGCATTTTCACCAGCAAAAAGTCTAATGAGCTGGACTTGGTACTCCAACAGCCAAAGGCCAGGCTTCTCCCCACAGCTGTCATGGCCACCATGGGTACTGAAATCCTCCCAGTTCTTCCTTTGAGTCCTCACATCCTAGCTGCCTGTGTCATACCAGAACAAAGATTTTCCTCTCCAATAAGAAGCTGAATCTCTCCATGACAGCCTCACACCTTGTCTGGCCTCAGCAGGATCCCTCCTGGGCTGCTGGTACATATGCACCCTCACCCAGTGAGACTGTTTAAGTCAGTCACACTCTCTAGGCTTCTTTTGAGTAGTTTTCACCTCTGTTGTAAGAGAGAGGAACATTTGGTGCTGCTTCATGGAGGATGAGCTTTCTGCCACCCAGCCTCAGGATGCTGAACAGGAAAAGTGTTCATGGCTTCTGCCAGGTGATTCCCAATCCTGTTTTACCACTTCTTCATTAAATTTCCCAACAGCCACCCACTGACTTGAGCACAAGTCCCTCCTGGCCAGCTGCAAATTTTCCTCAGCCACTTCAGAGCCCTCTTTGTACAAAGGCTAAAAATCCATCTTACCTGAAGTAGCACAGGTGTGAGCTCAGAGCAGTGTGCAAGAGCCTCACCTTTGTTGATCAAGAGCCTTTGTCTTGAAATCAGCCTCACACAAACAAAAATTCATAGCCTTATGTTGTCCTCAGATTGCTCCCCCAGCATACACAGATAGAATATCAAACCACAACATCAGACTGCCCAATCCTTTTCTCCTTTCAAAGGAAAAACTTCTTTTTGGTAAAACATTCACATTGTTTACTGAATACATGTGGTAAACAGTGATTTCTTCTCCAGCTGAGCCAGCAAGTTCTCTGCAGAACCTGAAATCTCCTTACCCAGAGGGCTGGATACAACTGCTGGGGGGATGTGAGAAATTCAAGCATATTTTCCTCATCCCAAGAAGTTCTCCTCCAATATTTTGAGAACTGGACACCACTATTTCCTAGGCTACATGTTAGCCTAGAAATATTTTCTGAGCTACATGTTAGCAATGGGATCAGCAGGAAAAGCTTTACCTCTCTGTTCTGAACTTGCAAGGTGCACTTAGAAAACAAAAAAGGTCTGCAAATATTAACAAGTAGGAACGAGTATGGATAGGATTTCTAGGCACCACAGCTCTCTGTACAAGTATCTCTCTAGCTGATGCTGTATTGGTTTTGCCCAGGAGGGATGCATGGACAGTTTGACCTTTCTGCAAATGTTGTTAGAACAACAAACAGAGCTGAGACAGATGGGTGAAGCCAATTTCCAAGAAGACTGTTAACCCATTCTCTGCCTCCCAGAGTGGAAAATTGCCCTGTGCACAGGTGTCTGACACTTGGTTCTCTTACCTCTTGATCTACTTGCCAAGAGTAAGGCAAAGGTAAAAATTCACTCCTTCCTGTGAGCTCAGGAGGTGTTGGCTATGCTGTGCAAAACACCTTTCCTGAAATACCAGTGTAACCTATGCACTGGAAAAGGGTGAAGCCCATGCCCTGAGCAGAGACACTGCCTGGCTGTCAGATCATTGAGGGGAGCACAGGTAAAGTCTTGAATCTAAATACCACCACTCCCCCCCTCCCAAAAGAAGAAAGGATCAGTCTGAATGTACAAGAATTCCAGGACCTAGTACATGACACCAGAAATATCCTCTCCTTTTCTCATTCAGAGGGGACAATCACAACAAAGTACTGAAAGCCTCAGACTTCTACAAGACAGAAAACTAGAGAATGTTTTGAGCAGCCACAAGCCTTGAGCTTCTCCTCCACAAAGCAGGATAACACTGGCACATGAAGGGCACCTGCTCCTGGCATGCCAGGCACAGCTTAGTGCAAAGAGCAGTAAGAGCAAGCAACAGCATGTGAAGCAAAGTTGGAAGCAGATGCTGCATGAGAGGTGCTTTTGTTCAGCATGTACAACTGTTCTAGGAAAAGTAAAGTCACTGTGGGGTTGGGGGGATATTCCTGACTTGGACAAAACCTGCCACTGAGTCAGAAGCCCACAGCAGGAACAATGACGTGGGATTACAAAAGAGGGTGGAGGAGAATAGGGCAATAGCTATGTTTATGAGAGATAGTGGGAAATTTCCTGCCAAATGCTTTTAAAGAAAAATTTCTAGTTGTCCTAAGAAAGCATGCAGCGGAAAAACCATAGTCAGATCAGCACAAGATATCAATTTCTTTTAAAAAAAGAATTTAAAAAAAATCACAATCTCACACATTCTAATATTCAGCTATTACTCCAAATCAGCAAGTCACTAGAATCAGTTAAGCATCTCTCAGAACCACATCAGAACTGAGAACAAGTTTCTTCAATTTGACGTTGGCAAAGACCTTGAGTGATCCAAACTGAAGCATTAATTAATTAAGCACCCCCAGCTCTTGAAAACCAAACAATAAATTTTCCTTCCTCTGTCAAGGGACTAACAACTGGTTTTTGCAGTGATATACAATGCCACTGCACTCAGTGAGCTCCACTTTGCTGCTTTAAAGCAAAAGCAGGAAGTCGGAACAGAAAATTCCTAGGGAGAGACTCTGCTGAGACAGAGCAACTCACAAACTCGTCCAGACTTCCTGCTAAAACAATTCTTTGCCCAAAAGAGAGACGTTCTTCCCTCCCCTCCACCCCACTTGGCCTCTCTGCAGGTGTCCCCAGATACCTGGAGCAGCAGGACAGTGTTGCTCCCCTTGCCTGGAAGCAGCAGTGTATTCCACAGCACAAAGCTAGCGGGGAAGGAGCACAGCCACTGTAAATAGAGGATCAGAGCTGCTCCGAGCCAGGAGGTGTGGTCTGCACTGCTCCCTACGCATCTCAGCCCTTTTCCAACACAGCCTCGCAGTCCTCAGTTCAGAGGGCAGCACAAGAAACCCTACCCTTGAGCTTCCAAGGTAAATTCCTTGTAATCCTGCCTTGTGCACAGCTGAGAGGGAGAGGGGCTTTCTGGGCTGCCTTAGGCAAGAGGGGAAGAAGGCGTAAGGAAGCAGATGATCCCTCATCTCACATCAACTTACCTTCCCTGAAAAACTCTAGCTGTTTCTACTTAGATTGCTGCCTTGCCCCTAACCATGTTTCCACCAGGCAAGGGCTGGAAGCTACCCCTGTGAATCCTGCCTCAAGTTTAAGGCCAGTTTTACGAGGCTGGCAACCTGCTTTCACAAAGAGAAGCCCAGAGAACTCAGGAAAGAGAGAAGCAAAGCATAAAATGACAGGACAAGGAGCATGTTTCCAAAGCATCATAAAACACACACCAGGGGTGGGGTGCACATCCCAGGACTGTCTCACTAAAGCAGCCAGAAGTGCCAGACTCTGTTCTGCCACTGACAGAGCACCACTCTATCCCACAGCATCCCCAAAAGGGAGCAAAGCCATCCCTGCCTGCTGACAGCTGGAGATGCTGATGGGGATTTGTCACTCAGTGGGCAGCTCCAGAGTCCCCAGGCAGCACAAAGATGCTCTCAGCTGTGTCAGGTCCTGCTAGCTAACCCTGAGGTCTTCTCAGGAAAGGTGACAAAGGAAAGACAAAAAGGAAAGTGTTAAGACCCTGGCAGGCTGGCTCTTCATCACCTGGTAAGGTTTTGTGTCCTTTTCTCACCCCTACCCCAAATGCCTTTTGCCCAGGAAACAAGCTTTGCCATACAAATCCTGAGCAGGCAAGCCTACCCTCTACAGAGAGGAAAACTCCCTCTTCCATCAAGTTTCCACTGAGAAGACTCCAGCTGGTGTCTGAAGAGCAGAGATGTCATCAATCTCCAAAGAGAGGAGCTCCAAACAGCCCCATTCTCCCAGCAACAAGCAAATGGGACCTGCAGAAGGCAAAGACAGGTCCTTCTCTATTATTTTAAGATTGTTATTTCAAAACCCAGACTAAAAAAATGGACATGAAGCCTACTACAAACAATTACAGTTGTCTTTCCTAGAGATTTAACAGGGCCAGAGAGTTCCCCTGAGCATCTGGGAGGTCTCTGTGCTAGCAGAGGGCATGAGGATCACCTTTCCATTCCTCATAGGCTCAGCTTTGCCTCAGCTGCAGGACTCCAAATCCCCTGGGGCAGGCTCTAACAGTGCAGCTGTGGCAAAAAACACAATAAAACCAAACAAACCCATACCAAGTGAGCTATCTGCCTCCAAGCATGATAATTTACTCACCATTTTGTTCACCACTGCTGCAGAAGTCCTGCTTGACACCGATCCATGGTCTTGGCTGGGATGCTACTAGAACAGCACAAGAAAGGACAGGGTGCAAGGTGCAGGAAAGCAGTTTGCTCCCTATCTCTAATCTCCTCCTGGAGTTCTTTATAAAGGTTCTCTTAGTACTGACCACAACAAAAAAGCTTATAAAACACACCAAAAAAACCCCCAAAACCCTACACTTTGGAGGTACTTTAATTAATGAGCCCTTAGTGTTACACAGATAAAGGTCAGGAAATACAAAAAGTTATGGTTCCCATAGTAATGCTAATTCAACCATACTGCACATCCTGTGTATTTAGTGGTACACATTGAAAAGAAAAAGGCTTCATCTACCAATGCTTAAAAGGTTTTTGATTTAGTAAAGACACTTGAATACCACCCCCCACACGCAACATTTATTGTTCAGAGCAGTGGATTTTCAGATGGAATTGGATTAAGCCAATCTAAGCATCACTCCAGCTCCCCACATCTAGGGCAATAGCAAGAGCTCTCAAGCATGATTACAGACTGAACATTATTTGCCCAGCCTGAATAGAGGAAAGGGATCCAGGCATCAGAGTGGCTTGAGTCACCAAATCACAGCACAGATTCTGCACTGGGATGCAGCAGGGACTTGGTAAGGAGAGAGGGGGGACAATAACCAGCCAAGCCCCCCACACCCATAACTAGCAGCTGTTAATCCATTCCTACAAACACTCATTCATTTGATGCCAACAGCTTGAAATATCCTGCCTGGTATCCCACCTCACAAGTCTGGGAACGGGTGAACTACAGCCATGCTGACCTTTCTCCAGCACAAATCCATGTATTGCTCTGCTCTCCCAGCTCCTGAGGGCTCATCCCCATGCTCTGCATAAAGCCCACAACCCTCTTGGAGAGGGAACAGCTACAAGTGGTCCATTTGCATTTAGCGGCTTTGACTGAGCCACCCGATTTGCATAGGAAGCGAAAGAGACTTTGAGCCGTAGGAAATCCATTAAATCAAAGGGGTTTGAGCACCTCTGCCGGAGCAGAGGATTACCCCTCTGGCTACATGTCTGGGAGAAAGGAAAGGTAGATCAGGCATCTTACAAACTCCTTAAAGAGGCAAAGAGGATAAGGAAGAAGGAAGGCAGCTCTCAAGCATAGGAGCAAAGTGTGCAACAGAAGAAACATGAACATTTGCAGAGGCACCCACATGTCCTCTCTCCCTCCAATAAATCAGAACTTTTTTCCTAGTTCCCATGATCTCAGACAGAAGGACACAGTTCAGGACAACAGGTATCTCAGAACTTCAAAAAATAAAGGAGAAGAGAGAGAGAGACTGCTGCTGAAGAGGTTCTCAGCCCTGCTAGACACCAGGTCACCCACACAGCCCTGCTTGGAGGGCACCAAGCTGACAGAGCTGCCATGGAGCAACATCCACACCAGAGTCTGCACAGGACACAGCCACAGGGACACACAGCAGGAGTCCTCCTGCCCACAGGGTTATGGGTGGCTGTTCCCTCACTCACAGCCTTGCACTCACCTTCCCTGGTGGGCTCCAGCATCAGTCTACATGTTTTAAAGAGGCTTTGCCACCTTCCCCACAGCTGAAGAGCCTGGCTATTCCTCTGAGCTGCACCAATTCCAGTCAGCATCTAGCCACACCTGCCAAGGGTTTTGGTCATGCTTTATCTTATCTAAGCAATGATGACGCTTGTCTTTCTTCTTGGGCAAAGCTCAGGAGCTCAGCACCTGCCAAGGAGGGGAGCTGGGCAGGGGCCAGGAGCTTCAGCCTGCAGCAATTCACCCCAGAGCAGATGGCTCTGCTGGCCTGCCTGTCCCACCCCACAAAAAATGGGCACTCAGTCCACAAACTAGGGCTAGGGGCAAAATAAGGCTCAGCAATACGTACACTTCTTGCCCCACCTTCAGCTCAGGTGGTGGCAAAGGCACAGCTCACCTTCCCTAGACACAATACAGCCCCACTATTCCTTGCCAGGAGACAAAGCAGAGCTTTACAGGGAGGCAGAAATCTTGTCTGGAGATAAAACTTCAACATCTCTTAGGCTGTCAACCTATAGGTCACCTACCACTTCAATTCTCAGCTGGAGATGAGCTCGGTTTCCTCCTCTTCATTTTCCAGAGGGAAGAAGAGGGAAAAATGAGGCAGATAAAAGCATTACTCTTACTCACAGATGTTATGCTGAAAAAGCTGGAGAGGAATTCAGCTACTGTAACAGTCAGGGCCATCAAGCTCCTCTAGGATGTGTTACATCCGCCTCCCTGCACCTGAACCTTTGCCCAGCTCCCACCATGCCTAGCCAAGGGTTTACAGCTAGCCTGCAAGTTTGCTGTCTCCTTTTCCAGAGGCTTGACTCACCTAGCTATATCCAAACATAGCTGAAGTTTTCCCAAAAGGTTTGCTTTCCATAGCCTAAATGACATATTTAGACATTCCGCAATTTTATTTTTAGCACCACACAGCAACTCCTCCAAAAGTCTGCAGATATCCAGGCTGCTATTCATTGGAAGAGCTTGAAGTAGGAAGCAATAAACAGGTAGGTATGTTACCTTTATTGCACAGTTACAAAAATTAGGCTTTTTTCAAGCCTTCACTGCACTGCTTTACTTTCATGCAGCACATGTGCTAAAGGCTAATTCTTTCAAAAAGCTGTAGGATACGTCTTCAGAGCTCTCCCCTTATTCAGTCTCATCTCTCCAGAAACACAGGATGCCTCAGCCCAGGATACCTCACCTGCTGTGAGCAGGGACACCTTTACACCTGCCAGGATCTTACCAACAACACAAACTCAAGCCAGCCCCAAGCCCACACAGTGCTGAACCACCACAGCAAATCTCAGGAGGTTCATGGCTCCCAGGCACATTTGCAGAGCTCTCCTGCCATCCCCAGGACAACACAACCTTTCCTGCAGGGCTGTCAGGTATGTGTAATCCTCAGACATCCTTCTGAACCAGGCAGTCCCTTCCACACAGATGGGGCAGTAACTGGTGCAGAACAGTGACACAAAGTCTTGTACCAGCAGAGACTGAAGGCACAGAAGCAGAGGCAAGAGCTCCTCCTTCAGATGACATCTCTGCTAAATTAACTGCAATCACACACTCCACTGGATAGAAAGCAGGGATGTTACAAGCCTCCTTGCTCTCACTCTTTTTACTTGACAGATTTTCCTCCAGTTATGCCAAGCAGATAAGAACACTGTACCCTTTCAAAGCATTGCACCATATCTTATTTCCTCCAAAACAAACCTATGATTAGGTTAAAGCCACAGTCTCTGAGAACACAAGACAGTATTTGTTGCTGCTTTAGTGCTTTGTCACACAAGGTTAAGAGAAAAACATTTGATTAAAAGGTCCACAGGGCTTCCCAGCCATGTTACTCCAACCTGAACTAGGCAGAGGAAAGCCCAGCATGGCTCCAGCCTTCATTTGAAAGTCCACAGAACCACAACCCACCACTACTTTGGGTGTTGTTTTCTCCCAAAGCTCACAATGTTTGTTATTTGGCTTGAGGCACCTAGGTCCTGCAGTCACGTGAAATACTGACATTCAAGCATTCCTGGCAGCTTATACAGACACACAGAAATCTTCAAGACAATCAGAAATAAGCAGAAAAAAGCAAATTAAGAATGTGACTTAAAGGAAAAAAAATAAGTAATTTTATGCCTTGGTTTTTTTAATGTGTGGCTGGTGGCATTCAAAAGCTTAGGGTTGGCAAACCTTTTGATCATGTGGCTGGAGGAGAGCACCTGGTGCTCCTAGCCACAGCAGGAGCCCATGGGAATACTTAGTAGATCCACCCCAGTGCTCCTTGCACAGCTGCAGGGGTCAGGTTTGCTTAGCAAAATGTGCATTAGGGCCATGCAGAGGGAAAGTCATCTCAGCATCCGCCAAGAAATTAAAGGCTAGGGATACAGGATGAGGAAAGGAGAACATTGCTAGGAAAATATCAGGAGGGTCAATCAGGACATCCAGAGCTTTCAAGCTGCTGGGCTGGGGATACCTCCAAGGAGACACAGTGACAAAGGACAGGAACTCTTGCTGATCGTTGCAATTCTATGGTCTGGTAGGACAGCAAATGAATCCTGAGAGATTCAGATGTACAGATTAAACCAAGCATTTCCAGCCCAGACTTCACATGCACAGCAAGCCAAGGCAGCTGGCAGGAAGGAGGGAGATGCTGCTCCACTCAGTGGAAGATGACACATTTGCTACAGCTGAAGTTTCTCCTCACTGTCCTTAAATCCAAGACGAGCTCCTGCAAGCAGGGGAGGAGAGAGGATTCAGTCCCCAGAGCAGCCTTATGAAATCAAAAAGATTTAGAGAGTGAGAAGCTGCATTACAGAAACCAATCCTAGTTTGCTGTACATAGGGATCGATTTCCTTAAAGCTCTCTGACCATGAAGAGCGTTGTGCACACAGCTGAGCCCATGTGATTTCTGTTCCTGTCAATTGTCCTCGTCCCATCAGCTCATTTTCTGAGGCTGCCTGGCAAAGTCATGAGGAACAGCAGTTCCCCAGCACTGTCTGTGTGCTGCTAAAGACAGCCCCACACTGAGCCCTCCTTTGCAGCACCACCTTCAGGTCAGTGAATAGGAGGCTCTTGATTCATCAAATGCATCAAACTGGCTTGTGGGGGAGAAATTTTCCTATCTGATGGTGACAAAACGACCAAGCAGATCTTCCAGTTGGATAGTTGATACTCCCACTGTACCTTGCCACAAGAAGGCAAGAGAAGAGTGATGCTCCAGGAAATGAGAATATTTTTTGCCCAGCAAGGTAGCTTCAAAGACATTTTATACCATCTTATGAAAGAGTCTAAAATTTTATATCTCAGGCCTCACATCACTCTCTGTGGAGCAGGGTGTCCTGGCAAAGAGAGGCTTCCTCCACCCCAGCTCACTGCAGCTTTTCAGAACCTCTTCTGGACCACCTGAACTGAACGGTGAAAGGACAAACCAAACAGATTATCTGTTTGATCAAGAAAAGCATTTCCATAGCCCTCAGGAGATGTACATGTACAGAGATATATTCATCTATAGCTTGTTAGA